GATAGAAAAGTTAAACTATTGTGATAGGCCTCACCGCTCTTGTCCTCTTAAAAAAAGAAAAAGAACAGCCAATCCAAATTAAGTAGCGCAGAGCCGAACCAATCACAGCCGCAGCGTCACGTGACTTGTTACGTACAGCACGCGTGCCAAGCCGCACACGTGTATTTGTTTGGGAAGCAGCCAGCTGCCGTGCCACCCGGGTAATGGAGGAAATGAGTGTGCCGACTAGAGAAAGATCAACCGAGCGTGACCGAAGGTTACCGAAGAGAAAACAGATGATGGTTCCAATGCCGGACAGATTGTGGAACGGAAGAGCCATAGAAGTCCCGTAGTGTGAAGGTATTTCAGCTATTTCAAGTCAAACAGAGCAGCTACACTGTAAATGTGCCGAAAGCAAGTCTGGAAATACAATAAGCCGGTGCAGCTCAGTCTCTGACTGGAAGCGCTAATTCGTCATTTGGCTTTTGTCAGACTAAAGTAACTTTTAAAACTGTTTGAAAAGCTCAGCTATACAACAAGGAGAGATTGAGAATTTCCTTTTAGTTCTCAGTTTATTTGATATGACAAAAGTTAGTCAGTTTTGTCTGTTCTTCTGTAAAACAAACTAAGATTTATTTTTAGAATTAATATTTTGTTTCTAAGTGGAATTGACAAATTAGGCTGTTTCGTTTGTTCTATTTTGAAACTTAAACGCTTTAGCGGCCTGCCTTTTGTGTAGTTTGCAATATTTGCCTTTATTTATCTGAAAAAGTCTCGTGTTCCTTAAGTACTCTACCCCTGTTGAACTTATTATGGAAATAAATATTTAAATAAAAACAAGCTGCTGATTATTTCACATTTTACTTGTGAGCAACGGCACATTTAAATCTTACAAATATAGTTATTTGGCTGATATCGTGATAGATATCGTTATCGCCTGAAATGAAAAAAACATATCGTGATATGAAGAAATCTTATATCGCCCAGCTCTACAGTCCAGGTATGACATTAAAGAGCAACATGAAGCATTTACCACTGTGACTCTGATAAACGGGGGGTGAAGTGTTAGTCTGAGAGATTCTCCTAGTGGGACGTGAGTGTGATCAGGTGAACACTGTCAGGTGATTCAGGTGAGACAGAGGCAAACACGAGCTCTGAAACTACGTCTTACACCCCCTGCTGTCCAGACTCAGGAACTGTAAGTAGCGAGGGGGCGGGGCTGACTGAGAAACTGACTGACTGGAGTCGTTGTCCAATGAACTTCCACTTCGTGTTCCTCTGTGACTCCGAGTCCAAATGTTCAAAATGAACTTTTTACTTTATTCAGTTAGACAGGAAACAGTTTAACTGGGCAGGTCGTCGCCCCCTGCTGGACATTAGAGGGGTGCAGCGTCAGTGTTCCTGCCTAATTACTTGCACTGCTCTGTGTGCTGGACACCTTTCTGTCAGCAGCTCATCTGTAGGATCGATCATCTTCCAGGTCCCGCCCACCACCACCACCTCATCGCGACTCTCTGGCTGTTTCACCGCTGGTCAACTGCAGAGTGGAACGCCTCAAAGACGTGTGTTTCCTGTTTCTGCGCCAACATGTTCACCTGCTCCCTGATAGATCCCGCCCACTGACAGGAGCCATGAGGGGAGCTGGACTGCCTTAGGGTGGTGTCAGAGAGGCGGATGTTGTCTAAGATAAGGACAGTGCTGGACCTCCCACCCACTCCATGACGTGCTGTCACAGGAGCACGCTCAGTGCAGGACTGAGATTACCCATAATGCACCACTGAACAACACATATCTGTGTGTAACATTAATGTTAGTTACTGTTACTGTTTTAAATAAACTGCTCTGATTCTGTGTGTGTGTGAGAGTGTGTGTTACATGTAGAAGTGTCCAAACAGGGCATTCAGGGGTCGGTTGTCATCAGGAAGTTGCCGTAGTAACCGTCTGTACTCCTTAAACCTGCGTTTCTCGTCTGACACACCTGAGAGACAAACAGGCTGTTAGGGAGAGAACTACGACTACTGCAGTATCGCTGCTGTTAGCCCGAGTACTACAACTACTGCATTATCGCTGCTGTTAGCCCGAGTACTACGACTACTGCAGTATCGCTGCTGTTAGCCAGAGTACTACGACTACTGCAGTATCGCTGCTGTTAGCCCGAGTACTACGACTACTGCAGTATCGCTGCTGTTAGCCCGAGTACTACGACTACTGCATTATCGCTGCTGTTAGCCGAGTACTACGACTACTGCAGTATCGCTGCTGTTAGCCCGAGTACTACGACTACTGCAGTATCGCTGCTGTTAGCCCGAGTACTACAACTACTGCATTATCGCTGCTGTTAGCCCGAGTACTACGACTACTGCAGTATCGCTGCTGTTAGCCAGAGAACTACGACTACTGCAGTATCGCTGCTGTTAGCCCGATTACTACGACTACTGCAGTATCGCTGCTGTTAGCCCGAGTACTACGACTACTGCAGTATCGCTGCTGTTAGCCCGAGTACTACGACTACTGCATTATCGCTGCTGTTAGCCCGAGTACTACGACTACTGCAGTATCGCTGCTGTTAGCCCGAGTACTACGACTACTGCAGTATCGCTGCTGTTAGCCCGAGTACTACGACTACTGCAGTATCGCTGCTGTTAGCCCGAGTACTACGACTACTGCATTATCGCTGCTGTTAGCCCGAGTACTACGACTACTGCAGTATCGCTGCTGTTAGCCCGAGTACTACGACTACTGCAGTATCACTGCTGTCAGGATACTGTCAGTAGTACTACGGTTATACTGCAGTACATGCTTTTTCTGTTCTGGAGACAAATATATAAATATTTTAGTGTTACACAGTTTTCCTGTTGCGTCGGGTTACAGTTACTTCACTCAGAAAAACTGCAGTACTTTTCAGGAGGGCTAATAGCGGCTCATATAAGGTCTCTGATGTTTTTGCAGTTTCTGCAGAGGTTACTGCTATTAGTACTACAGTACAGATACTGCAGCAGCTCTACAGACAGCAGTACTACATGTAGTAGTAGCTCAGACAGTAGTTCTTCGTGTACTGCAGCCTGCAGCCACTGCCCTTGGGCTCCGTTGGGAATCAGACTCTCTTGCCGGCGGACATATTGTTTGAGGGCGGAGCCAGCATCTAGCACGCCCTGCTCATGACTCTCCAGGGGGCGGAGTTTGGTGATATAATCAAGGCCTCCACCAACTGGCTGACTTTGAAGCGAGACCGCAGCGCCGGTACACGCCCTCCACCTTCAGACCTGAGAGAGAAAATGCTGCATTAGAAGTATCCCATGATGCTTTGCTGCCTGTCACTGTGTCGGCATGGTGACCTCGGCTCACCGTAGGTGGTGATGTGGGAGATGCAGCGCTCGATGGCCGGCGGTACCGAACCTCTCAGCTGCACATCCATCACCGGGTACAGAGACCAAGAAACTGAGCTCTGATTGGCCGCAGGAGGATGGGGCACGGCTGGGCTCTGATTGGCTGCAGGAGGACGTGGCACGGCTGGGCTCTGATTGGCTGCAAGGGGACGTGGCACGGCTGGGCTCTGATTGGCTGCAGGAGGACGTGGCACGGCTGGGCTCTGATTGGCTAGAGCTCTTTGAAGGTGGGTGAACCAGGACCGACAGCTGTATTGCTCTTCGAAACGCAACGACACCCTCCTGAGGAGAGAAACCAGCTGTGATGTCACATATATCTGTGGTGGTGTCAGCCAATCAGAAGCTCTGAATTCACATCATTAGTTTTAATGAAGATGTTATAGAGTGATGCTGCACACCTGTCTGCAGTTGCCATGGTGACGATGTTTTCAGATGGATCCATTTCTGTAAGAGGAGTTAAAGCCAGACTGGTCAATGATATCAAAGTGTCCTCACATTCATCAGCAGCCTGACTGATTTCAGCAGATACACACAACACAATGCCGACAGCCACAGAAGAGCTCCGAATGCAAAGAAGCCTGAAAGCTGCTCGGAGAGTTCAGGCTGTGTAGGGCAGAGATGGTGACACCAGACCGATAATCAAAGAATAAACTACACGAGTGTGTGTGAATGAAAACATTTACACACGGAATAACCGTCAGCTGCAGGACCAACATCCAGTCATGGGTGGAAAACATTTCCAACAAGAAAGCACTCAAACAGATCAATATGTGTTCCCTCAACATCTACTGAACAAAACAACATACAGACGCATACTCATAAGACAGACTGTTACCGTGGTGACTGAGCATGCCCAGATCAATTGTGAGAGACTCATGGGATTCTCTGTGGACAGGGTGAATGCTGACTCCATCCTCCCAAAGCAGCAGCCAGGCCTCTGGATGATTGGAAGCTCTGCCCAATTCTACAATACACACTTTACTGACTGCGGAGGCTCCGCCCACCTCAGCATAAGACACGCCCCCTGGAAGAATCACCTGGAAACATGAATTCAGTCAGTCAGAGGACCTGAGCTGTGGATTTAGAGGAAAGTCTGACCCAAACCAACATTACCTTCAGAATATGGACCAGGTGGTCCGACAGCCCCTCCCTGCTGTCAGCTGCACAGATCAGCTGATCTGTGAGTGTGACGATCTCAAACTGATGAGCTCGGCTGAAACACAGCAGCAGGTATGGTTCGGTCATCTTCATCACAGAGACACACTGTAACCCTCAATAATAAATGCCCTCGGTGATGTTTTTGTACCGCTAATATGCAACATTTATACTTGATATACTTCATTTATCAGGCTTAATAACCAGCCTGTAGAACATCTTCTGGATGACCTGTAGAGGTGCTGATGTTTATCACACCTGGTTTAAAGGACCTGTAAGTAGGCAGGCTGTTATGATGTCATAGATCAGAGTAAAGATTCATTATGACATTAGTAAACTAACATCCATCAATTCGCTTCCGCATATCCTTTTCAGGGTCGCGGGGGCGCTGGAGCCTATCCCAGCTGTCATAGGGCGAGAGGCGGGGTACACCCTGGACAGGTCGCCAGTCTGTCGCAGGGTCAACACACAGGGACAGACAACCAGTCGCACTCACGTTCACTCGCACATTCACACCTAGTGACAATTTGGATTATCCAATTAACCTATCCCCACAAGCTGCATGTCTTTGGACGGCGGGAGGAAGCCGGAGTACCCGGAGGGAACCCACGCAAACACGGGGAGAACATGCAAACTCCACACAGAAAGACCTGATGGTGGAATTGAACTCTGGACCTTCTTGCTGTACAGCAACAGTGCTAACCACCGTGCCACCGTGCTGCCCCAGTAAACTAACAGTTTATGATTATTATTGATGGTTCTTATAAAAGTACTGTGACAGACAGGTGAGCTGCCCAGGTGACCCCGCCTCCCGTCCTATGACAGCTGGGATAGGCCACACCTCCACCTCAGACACAGCAGCTGATACCTGAACACAAACACCCTGGAGCTAGGACTCGTCTGCAGAGTAACAATAAGAGCTGAGGAGCCAGTCACTTTGTTTTTCTGTTGCCTTGGTAACCATATGAAACGACTGATTCTTTCAGCTTTGCTGTTTGAGTCGGTTTGTAGGTGTTTGCAGTGAATAGATGTGTCCAGCAGAGGGAGCTGCGGTGTCAGAGTTGGCTGCCCTGAGCTTCCTGTTTTGTTTGTGGGAACTTCCTGTGATGTAAAACGTTCACCGGTTGTGTGTAACGAGCTCAGCGTGTTGCTTTGGTGTAGCTTTGGCGCTGGCAGTGGTCTGAGCTCAGTCCCGTGTGTCCTGCACTAAATCTGTTGGATGCTTTCTTCTATCCACACATCGTGCAGATGATTTAGGATGTCCCCAAACAAACTGGTCCTGAGTGATTCAGAGCTACCCTTTGATGAAATGAAGGACCCTGAAGGAGCCGGGGCAGTGCTCGGGCTCGCTGACAGCGTCCTGGGTCCACTGACTCGGAGCGAGCCACGTTCCACACCTCCAGTGCTGAAGCTGCAGTAGAGAGCTGAGGCCGCAGGTGGTTGATTCTGTCATGGCGTTACCTCTGAACGAGTTCGGGTCGGCCCGGAGGAAACACTGTCCAACAGACAGGTGACCCGGGACAGGGACGCAGCTTCTGCCTCACACTGTGCAACGGACTGAATTTCCTGACAGTCGTAGCAGAGACACCCGAGCTCTCCCTCCACTTCCTCCTGCTCTGACACCGAGGTGTCCCAAACCAGCTGACAGGTGTGCCGCGTGACCCCGGCCACTGATGGTTGAGCTTTACATCATTGCTGACATCACCATGAATGAGTTCAAAGTTCACAAAAAAACATTCACAGAGGCGTGGCCTCATCAAGGTGGCCTCCGCCTTTCAGACACAGCCTGTGGTCAGTCAGGTGTTTTTCTGCTAAAACCTCTAAAACGCAGTATTACTGTGAGGTACTGCAGTACTTGTGGTACCAGAGGTATTAGTACTGCATATTTACCCGTCTTTGAGGAAGACAGACAGGACTTCTCGCAGGTCGAGCACGTCGCAGGCTGCTGATTCGTTTTCTAGCGAGAAGAGAAAACGATCATCCTCCAGTTTCCCGTGAAGCTCCTCCTTCTCCTCACCTGCACAGATGACACAGGTGAGTGTTTGCTGATGTTTGGGTGGATCAAAGAGACTCTGACATATCACCACATTCATATTCATGTACAGCGTTTTGATCTCTGCGAGTGCACCTGGATTCATTTGAACTGCATACCTGAGGGGGCGGAGTCCAACCTCCTTCTACCTGCCAGCGGCTGGTGAGGCGGGACTTCTGAGCACAGAACACACACAGAGCGGCAGGTGAGCTCAGATCAGCATTTACTGTCACCTGTGTGTGTGTTACCTTTGTGTGTGTGTGTGTGTGTGTGTGTGTGTGTGTGTGTGTGTGTGTGTGTGTGTGTGTGTGTGTGTGACCTTTGTGTGTGTGTGTGACCTGTGTGTGCGTGAGTGTGTGTGTGTGTGACCTTTGTGTGTGTGTGTGACCTTTGTGTGTGTGTGTGACCTGTGTGTGCGTGAGTGTGTGTGTGTGACCTTTGTGTGTGTGTGTGACCTGTGTGTGAGTGTGTGTGTTGCTTTGTGTTGTGTGACCTGTGTGTGCGTGAGTGTGTGTGTGTGACCTTTGTGTGTGTGTGTGACCTTTGTGTGTGTGTGTGACCTGTGTGTGAGTGAGTGTGTGTGTGTGACCTTTGTGTGTGTGTGTGACCTTTGTGTGTGTGTGTGACCTGTGTGTGAGTGAGTGTGTGTGTGTGACCTTTGTGTGTGTGTGTGACCTTTGTGTGTGTGTGTGACCTGTGTGTGCGTGAGTGTGTGTGTGTGACCTTTGTGTGTGTGTGTGACCTTTGTGTGTGTGTGTGACCTGTGTGTGAGTGAGTGTGTGTGTGTGACCTTTGTGTGAGTGAGTGTGTGTGTGTGACCTGTGTGTGTGTGAGTGGGTGTGACCTGTGTGTGTGTGAGTGTGTGTGTGTGTGACCTGTGTGTGCGTGAGTGTGTGTGTGTGAGTGTGTGTGACCTGTGTGTGTGTGAGTGTGTGTGTGTGTGACCTTTGTGTGTGTGAGTGTGTGTGTGTGTGTGTGTGTGACCTGTGTGTGAGTGAGTGTGTGTGTGTGTGTGACCTTTGTGTGTGTGTGTGACCTTTGTGTGTGTGAGTGTGTGTGTGTGTTACCTTTGTGTGTGTGTGTTACCTGTGTACTCGTTGACTCGCAGCAGCTCGGTCTGCAGAGCCTGATTGGCTCGCTCTGCCAGCAGGATGAGGGAGGGGGTCTGTGGGTCTGATGAAGACACCTGCACAGGTGAGAGCCTCAGATGAAGGAGGGAGTGTGTTATAAATGTTTAATAAGCTTAACGAGCATCATGAACACAGGACAGTACCTTTGCTCCGGAGCAGATCAGAGACATCGTTTCCTCCACGTCGTCAGTGCAGACCACCTGATACAGCCTCTGAAACACAAACACACACACCTGTCACACATATGACACCTGTGTAACGCCTCTGAGCGTGTGCGGTGGCTGAGCTGATTCTGGGTCAGACCTGCTCCATCATGGAGGGAAATGAGGCCAGAGCGTGCACTCGTCTGTAGCGCCCCCTGCTGTATTTATCCTTTATGAACTTTGACCTCTCCTCATCTGTGGACTCTGGGCGGAGCTGCTCTGCCGCTGGCACCGCTGGAGCCCACACCTGATTTGCCAGCTGGTTACCATAGGTAACGAACAGCTGGCAGAAGATTGAAGGTAAAAGTTAACTGCAGTTTCCATAATGTCCAGCAGAGGCAGCATTGACTCCAATGTTAAAACTCTACAGCAGAAATAAACATGTTTACAGCCTGAGACTAAAAAACTGGTCTCTATCCGGTCTTTAAGTCTGACGTCATTAGCCGTGTCTGGGCCCGGACTCAGCTGCAGGTCCATAAGCCAAATGGTCACTGTGGCTGCTCTTCCAGGTGTAACGGTTAAGTTTAACGTTCAGGCATCCATGAAAACTGAATTTATTAAACTTAACAGAGTTAGAAGTTAGCAAGGAGTTAGCTTGCTAGTTTCCGTCTAAATATAATATAGCCTGTCCCGACTGAGAGATTTCTAAAACAAATTCAAACGTACAGCTCTGCTATCGCTTCTGAAATAAATGAAGACAGAAAACTAAACAGCAGGGACGTTTGTAGGGTTACTTTAGTTTGGCTAGCTGGTATATAATGATGTGCTACGTGACCGCTAGCGACACAGCTATGTTAGCATAGCATAAACTTTTTTCCCACTCAATAAAAGTTCCCGATGATCAGGGACAAATGCAATCGCATGGCAGGATGCTGTAAACGGAGAACTGAGATAATCCATCCACAATAGTTAGTCATTCATATACTGCTGCATGGGCTGCAGTTACATCCTAAAGTTTTAAAAACTGAGCTTTAAAATGAACAGTGGTAATAAAAACTGAGAGAGGCCGACCGTGATCACTGACTGTTTTTAGGGGCTTTTGAGAATAAATAGAACCAGATACAAAGCATTAAAACATGTTAAAAACACAACAGCCTTATTAAACGCAGAGTAGCAGGTTTCATCACGTCATCACTTAAAGACCTGATAGATCATAACAACAGTGGGTGGTGACAAAGGCAGCTGTAGCTGCTAACTGGCTGGTTGAACTGGGACTGTGTTTGTGTTGCACTGTGTTCAATCTCCACCCACTCACCTGTATCAATGGTTCAGTCCAGATTTTATTGTCCATCCTTAGACTGCGCACCTTCGACAGGTTGCTGCCCAGGCCTCGATGGTGACCTGAGAACATGTTAGCATTTTGCGTTCAGTGGGTTTTACAGAATCTCAGAATCTTTGTTGTCATTGTGCTCTCGAACAACAAAAACTGTATACAAACCAATTCACTACAAGTGAAAAAAGGGCAATTTTAAGAGGATAAGTATGTACAATAAATTTTAAACAAAGAAAAAATGAAATAAATAAATAAATGAATGAATATAGTATTTACAAGACTGTGAATAAGAATGAAAAAGTGAGGATAGGGTTGCTGCCCAGTGCTTTAGTCCTCAAATATTTTTTCTATTTAACAACAGAAAAGAAAATGTGTGAAGGTTGTGTTTTCGCAGTGATCACAGTGTATCAACAGTCTACAGGTGTGTGTTATCAGCAGGTGAGTTTTATTGACAGGTGTGTTTCCCTCAGACTGCACACGTTTTATTGGCAGTGGTGAAACTGGAACGCTGGTATCGTTTCATTTAATCAGCATCATATAAACTGTTCCAGCTAACAGTCAGTGAGTCAGGCTCACATTTGGTTTCGTTTCTTTATCTCAGAGCTTTCTGCTCTGTTGGTTTGGACGTATGCTACTCCTGTGATATCACCGAGATCTTACAACAGTGTTTGTTGGTTTCTCTTCTGGGCCTTTAATGGCACTTTGGAGGATCTTCTGCACCTGGTTATATTTGCTCATTCACAGCATCCAGATTCTTAAGAGGACAGCTCTGAGTCTCTGATCTTTTAAAAACAGCACAGGGAGGTCCGGTCTCTTGGACATGAATCTGTGCCTTTGTTTTGGTAGATTAAAATCGATTTTGTGTTACATATTTTCCTCAATATTTTTATTTTCTGCCTTTTTCATACTTGTGTTCTGACATAAGTCCTGGGTAATGTCGCTTCTTTACGTCCGTGACCAACGATCGTTTGAATCCTGAAAAGGTTCACATCGATGCGTCTCATTCTGCTGTTACACAACCCTCTGCATTAATAATCTTAACGTGTACCAGGTGTGCTGTCATACCTGCACAGTGCTGACATATGACCAGCAGCAGATTGACCGAGGCCCACTCCGGATTGGCCGCACCACAGTCCCCGCACACCTTGTTGTACGGGTGTTCCCAGAGACGCAGCGCCACCTGACAGCAGGACAGAGCGCTCTGGATACTTGAAGACAGCCTGTCCACCCAGACGGACAGATCCTTGGACGAATCAACAGACAGGCTGTAGGTAGGGGGCGGGGTTAAAGAGAGGAGGATATAATTTTAGCAAACAAATAAACACCATACAGGTATGGACCGACAGGCAGACACACAGACGGGGGTTTACTTGAAGGTCTTGTATGGAGTGATGAGGCTAAACGAGTGTTTCCCCGTCGATTTGACCGAGGCCACATTCAGGGGGACGGTATACGAGGCCACACCCAGCTGGAAGCCCTCCTTGTTAGGGTAAATCCAAAGGTCATGACCCCAGAGGGCAGCATAAGCACGACCCCGCGGGTCCTTAAGGGTGATTTGTCCATGGAGTTCTGGGGGGTGGGGCTTGGATTGCCTCGAGTGGCGAGAAGAGAAGTGACCCAACCGTCCTGAACCTCTGATAGACAAACAGAAGCAAGCAGAAAAAATATGAGGCGTGAAACAGGGAAGCCGAGACCGCGGGTCTCTTTTATAATCGTGCTAAAATCGCTCACGCTATAAAACAAAGGCAGGTTTGACCAATCTGGTAGGAGCTGTCCCCAGTCGTCTTCCTGTGTTGGGTCAGTAGAATCCAGTAGAAACCAGAAGAGTCACTGTTCTTACCTTCACTATGAGCCATGAAGTCATAATGCTTCTTCCTGAAGTAAACAGAGAATCTGCCTTTGTCCAGTTTCTTCACGTTGGTGATACTGGAGACATGAAACAACACCTCGCTGAACCGGTCCTAAAGAGCAAAGCAAACGAGTAAATCGCTTTGGCTGAAGTCATTAGATTAGATTAGATAAAATAAAACTCTATTAATGGGTGGGTTCCTCCTTCGTTTTCACACAGCTGAATAAACGTCAAACAGAAAACTGATAAAACAGAAGTGTGAGATCGTCGAGAGTTTACACCAGTGTCCTGATATATTTTAGACAGCAAGGAGCAGACGGACGATTCATTAACCTCCACCGAGACAATCTGGACATTTTTATTAAAAGTTTAATAAACTGTCATCTGCTCTTTATTGTTAGTTAGCACCTTAAACACTTCAAGCTGTGAGCTAATGACAGTAATATAAGAGCAGATTCATGCTGGTTGTAATTGGCTGTACATTTTATGTCTAATCATGCATGATCTGATTAGTCGACTATCAAAAACAGGGGCGGAGCGTGGGGGTGGCTTACTGGGCTTAAGCCGGGTTGTTTTGTCAGAAGCCCGGGGTCTTTTGGAGTGTAATTTTTTCATAGTTAGATGTCTGGCTGACAACTGTATAAAACAAAAAGTACACACAATATTCGAAGCACATAGTGAACACTGTGGGAATTTACGACTGTGCATGAATCCCCCCTAATATTGGTACGATCCGAGCTCAGGCACTAAGCGACTGAGCGAGGGGGCGGGGCAGCTGCTGCCTGTGAGTGCGCTGTTGGAGAAACGCAGCCAGCCATACTAAGGAGAGCTTAAGTTTGACCAGGTACCAAAGCAAATCATTCGTACCGTACAAATAATGTAAATATGACGGTGCATCACCAAAGATTGATGTCAAACTGATCACTTGACCAATATTACGTTACTCGCTCTTCAAGTGAATCAACAAATGGCGAAATGAAAAGCCGAACAAATGCAATTTTTTTTACAGAGTCTTAGCTTACGTGTGTTTATTTCATATTCTCAGTTCTTACCCTCCCCGACTAAATCGGTTTCAGTTATGTACTGAAATATAAGAATGGACATTAGAGGCTTCTTTCAAAGAAAAACTCAGGTAAATGTTATTTTATATATTATGCTTTGTATGTTGTTCAGTATATTTCTATGCAAAACAAGAGGGGTTTCAGTACACAGCAGGATATTCACATTTATAACCAGATATTTACACTTTAGGGAGAAAACATAAAACATTTTTACTGCACAACATCAATTTAGATTAAACTTTTGTTTTAGATAAATATTGAAACATCTTTTGAATGAGTTAAATGTCAGAATAAAGAGAGACAGAGCACATTGATGATGTGCAGAATTATTAGGCAAGTTGTATTTTTGAGGAATAATTTTATTATTGAACAACAACCATGTTCTCAATGAACCCAAAAAACTCATTAATATCAAAGCTGAATGTTTGTGGAAGTAGTTTTTAGTTTGTTTTTAGTTTTAGCTATTTTAGGGGGATATCTGTGTGTGCAGGTGACTATTACTGTGCAGAATTATTAGGCAACTTAACAAAAAACAAATATATACCCATTTCAATGATTTATTTTTACCAGTGAAACCAATATAACATCTCCACATTCACAAATATACATTTCTGACATTTAAAAACAAAAACAAATCAGCGACCAATATAGCCACCTTTCTTTGCAAGGACACTCAAAAGCCTGCCATCCATGGATTCTGTCAGTGTTTTGATCCGTTCACCATCAACATTGCGTGCAGCAGCAACCACAGCCTCCCAGACACTGTTCAGAGAGGTGTACTGTTTTCCCTCCTTGTAAATCTCACATTTGATGATGGACCACAGGTTCTCAATGGGGTTCAGATCAGGTGAACAAGGAGGCCATGTCATTAGTTTTTCTTCTTTTATACCCTTTCTTGCAGCCACGCTGTGGAGTACTTGGACGCGTGTGATGGAGCATTGTCCTGCATGAAAATCATGTTTTTCTTGAAGGATGCAGACTTCTTCCTGTACCACTGCTTGAAGAAGGTGTCTTCCAGAAACTGGCAGTAGGACTGGGAGTTGAGCTTGACTCCATCCTCAACCCGAAAAGGCCCCACAAGCTCATCTTTGATGACACCAGCCCAAACCAGTACTCCACCTCCACCTTGCTGGCGTCTGAGTCGGACTGGAGCTCTCTGCCCTTTACCAATCCAGCCACGGGCCCATCCATCTGGCCCATCAAGACTCACTCTCATTTCATCAGTCCATAAAACCTTAGAAAAACCAGTCTTGAGATGTTTCTTGGCCCAGTCTTGACGTTTCAGCTTGTGTGTCTTGTTCAGTGGTGGTCGTCTTTCAGCCTTTCTTACCTTGGCCATGTCTCTGAGTATTGCACACCTTGTGCTTTTGGGCACTCCAGTGATGTTGCAGCTCTGAAATATGGCCAAACTGGTGGCAAGTGGCATCTTGGCAGCTGCACGCTTGACTTTTCTCAGTTCATGGGCAGTTATTTTGGCCTTGGTTTTTCCACACGCTTCTTGCGACCCTGTTGACTATTTTGAATGAAACACTTGATTGTTCGATGATCACGCTTCAGAAGCTTTGCAATTTTGAGACTGCTGCATCCCTCTGCAAGATATCTCACTATTTTTGACTTTTCTGAGCCTGTCAAGTCCTTCTTTTGACCCATTTTGCCAAAGGAAAGGACGTTGCCTAATAATTATGCACACCTGATATAGGGTGTTGATGTCATTAGACCACACCCCTTCTCATTACAGAGATGCACATCACCTAATATGCTTAATTGGTAGTAGGCTTTCGAGCCTATACAGCTTGGAGTAAGACAACATGCATGAAGAGGACGATGTGGACAAAATACTCATTTGCCTAATAATTCTGCACTCCCTGTACACTAAGTTTATTGTTAATTAATAAGAAAACTGCAGACGATTCCATTCTGAGCTGAAGAAGCTTCTGATTGGTTAGTAAAGTCCATGTGAGTAAACTGGTGGCACAGCTGTGGATGCATATAAGGCAAAACACAGAGGCTGTTTCTGTGACATGGGAACATCAAGAGATGTCAACCAAAACAGCAGGAACAGAACTGTGGAGCTGCATAAGTGTGGCTCAGTTTGAATACAATTTGGTGCCATTTACAAGAAATACAGACAGTTTCTCTCTTAAAGTTAACAAATATGTTTATATTTATCTAAAAAAATAAACATTTAGTCTGATTTGATGTTACAATTAAAAAAGTGTTTTGATCTGAAGAGTAAATATCTGGTTTCAACTGTAGATTTGATGATTGTCAGCACAGAGAGGGAACAAGAGCAGGTGAGACACACCTGTTAGTCACATGGTTGTTTGCCAAAAGTATCAGCGTATCACAGGTCCTCATGTATCTCGTACCTCGTGTTTCTTTTTAGGTTTGTTATTTTTCAAATTCTATATTTATTAAGTTCTGCAGCTTGTTTGCACAACAAGGCTAAATAATTATAGAAACTTTTCTGAATCTAAACAGTGGACTTTGGTAGAATTAAAAAATAAGTGTAGTGCAGGTCTATGATGGTTTTTAGTGCTGCTATCATCTAGTTCTGATTCTGGTTCTGTCTTGGTTAAGTCCTCAGTAGTCCTGATTTTGAGCTGTTGTAGTCCTGTTTTAATTCTGGATCAGTTCTGGGTCTGGTTGAATCGGGGTTTAGTCCTCGTGTCTTGATACAGCCCGACTTTGTTCTGCCTCGCTGCTTAATTGAAAAACTAGTTTAAGGTGTCCAGCACATGTGATATATATTTTTCCCTATATGAAGTCATTCTTTTTTGAACAAAACTCAAAACAGAGCCAATTAATCTTTCAGTCATTTCTAACCCCCCCCCGGAAAAAAAAATCCCACCACCCTTTTGGGCTAAGCCCCGGGTGTTTCAAATGTCTGGCTCCGCCTCTGATCAAAAATAATCGTTTGTGGCAGCCCTAATGTGGATGCTAAAAATGACAGCCTCAACATGGCATTTAATCTGTTATTAGACCCAATTGGCTTCTCTCAGAATGTAAAAGAAAGAAGTGGAACCAAAATCAAACATGACTCCAAACATTTTTTACAAATAAATAACTGCAAAGTGGGGTGTGCGTAATTATTCAGCCCCTTTGGTCTGAGTGCAGTCAGTTGCACATAGACGTTGCCTGATGAGTGCTAATGACTAAACAGAGTGCACCTGTGTGTAATGTCAGTACAGATACAGCTGCTCTGTGACGGCCTCAGAGGTTGTCTAGGAGAATATTGGGAGCAACAACACCATGAAGTCCAAAGAACACAGCAGACAGGTCAGGGATAAAGTTATTGAGACATTTAATAATAATGGATTGGATTTATATAGCGCTTTTCAAGGCACCCAAAGCGCTTTACAATGCCACTATTCATTCACTCTCGCATTCACACACTGGTGGAGGCAGCTACAGTTGTAGCCACAGCTGCCCTGGGGCAGACTGACAGAAGCGAGGCTGCCATATTGCGCCATCGGCCCCTCTGGCCAACACCAGTAGGCAGTAGGTGAAGCGTCTTGCCCAAGGACACAACGACCAGGAAAGAGAGCCCGGGGATTGAACCGGCGACCTTCTGGTTACAGATACGCTTACCAACCCCCTGAGCCACGGTCGCCTGGAGCTCACAGGCCGAACAAGGAGAGCGCCGATCAGAAATGCAGCCAAGAGGCCCATGGTGACTCTGGACGAGCTGCAGAGATCTACAGCTCAGGTGGGGAATCTGTCCACAGGACAACTATTAGTCGTGCACTGCACAAAGTTGGCCTTTATGGAAGAGTGGCAAGAAGAAAGCCATTGTTAACAGAAAACCATAAGAAGTCCTGTTTGCAGTTTGCCACAAGCCATGTGGGGGACACAGCAAACATGTGGAAGAAGCTGCTCTGGTCAGATGAGACCAACATGCAAAACACTATGTGTGGATGAAAACTAACACTGCACATCACTCTGAACACACCATCCCCACTGTCAGATATGGTGGTGGCAGCATCATGCTCTGGGGGGGCTTCTCTTCAGCAGGGACAGGGAAGCTGGTCAGAGTTGATGGGAAAATGGATAGAGCCAAATACAGGACAGTCTTGGAAGTAAACCTCTTGGAGTCTGCAAAAGACTTGAGACTGGGGCGGAGGTTCAGCTTCCAGCATCAACGACCCTGAACATAAAGCCAGGGCAACAATGGGATGGTTTAAAACAAAACATATCCATGTGTTAGACTGGCCCAGTCAAAGTCCAGATCTAAATCCAATCCAGAATCTGTGGCAAGATCTGAAACTGCTGTTCACAAACGCTGCCCATCTAATCTGACTGAGCTGGAGCTGTTTCAAAGAAGAATGGGCAAAGATTTCAGTCTGTAGATGTGCAAAGCTGGTAGAGACAGACCCTAAAAGACTGGCAGCTGTAACTGCAGCAAAAGCTGGTTCTACAAAATATTGACTCAGGGGCTGAATAATTACGCACACCCCACTTTGCAGTTATTTATTTGTAAAAAATGTTTGGAATCATGTATGATTTTCGTTCCACTTCTCACGTGTGCACCACTTTGTGTTGGTCCTTCACCTGGAAGTCCAATAAAACTGATTCATGTTTGTGGCTGTAATGTGACAAAATGTGGAAAAGTTCAAGGGGGCCGAATACTTTTGCAAGCCACTGTATGTACCACAGGCCTTCAAGCTGGCTGTAGTTAAACCTTTACTCAAAAAGCATCTCTAGACCCAGCAGTCTTAGCTAATTATAGGCCAATCTCCAACCTTCCTTTGATATCAAACATCCTTGAAAGAGTAGTTGTCAAACAGCTAACAGATCATCTGCAGAGGTTTATTTGAAGAGTTTCAGTCAGGTTTCAGAGCTCATCACAGCACAGAAACAGCTTTAGTGAAGGTTACAAATGATCTTCTTATGGCCTCTGACAGTGGACTCATCTCTGTGCTTGTCCTGCTAGACCTCAGTGCAGCGTTCGATACTGTCGACCATAATATCCTATTAGAGCGATTAGAACATGCTGTAGGTATTACAGGTACTGCACTGCAGTGGTTTGTATCATATCAATCTAATAGACTCCAGTTTGTGCATGTAAATGGAGAGTCCTCTTCACACACTGAGGTTAATTATGGAGTTCCACAGGGTTCAGTGCTAGGACCAATTCTGTTTACATTATACATGCTTCCCTTAGGCAGCATCATTAGAAGACATAGCATACATTTACACTGCTATGCAGATGACACCCAGCTCTATCTGTCCATGAAGCCAGATAACACACACCAATGAGTTAAACTGCAGGAATGTCTTAAAGACATAAAGACCTGGATGGCCGCTAACTTTCTGCTTCTTAATTCAGATCAAACTGAGGTTATTGTACTCGGCCCTGAAAAGCCTAGAAATATGGTATCTAACCAGATTCTTACTCTGGATGGCATTACCCCCATCTTATCTTAATGACCTTGTAGTACCATATCACCCTATTAGAGCACTTCGCTCTCGCTCTGCAGGCCTACTTGTTGTTCCTAGAGTATTTAAAAGTAGAATGGGAGGCAGAGCCTTCAGTTTTCAGGCCCCTCTTCTGTGGAACCAGCTTCCAGTTTGGATTCAGGAGACAGACACTATCTCTACTTTTAAGATTAGGCTTCAAACTTTCCTTTTTGCTAAAGCATATAGTTAGGGCTGGACCAGGTGACCCTGAATCCTCCCTTAGTTATGCTGCAATAGACGTAGGCTGCCGGGGGATTCCCATGATGCACTGGGTTTTTCCTTTCCAGTCACCTTTCTCACTCACTATGTGTTAACAGACCTCTCTGCACTGAATCATATCTGTTATTAATCTCTGTCTCTCTTCCACAGCATGTCTTTATCCTGTCTTCCTTCTCTCACCCCAACCAATCACAGCAGATGGCCCCGCCCCTCCCTGAGTCTGGTTCTGCTGGAGGTTTCTTCCTGTTAAAAGGGAGTTTTTCCTTCCCACTGTCGCCAAAGTGCTTGCTCATAGGGGGTCATATGATTGTTGGGTTTTTCTCTGTATCTACTGTACAATATAAAGCACCTTGAGGCGACTGTTGTTGTGATTTGGCGCTATATAAATAAAATTGAATTGATAGGTCCACACAGTGAGACAGGTACACAGAGTGAGGTAAATAACACAGTGAGACAGGTGAGAGATGCCAGCTTACTGTGCGTTTCTTCCACAGAGACATCAGCTGTCCGTCCAGCGTCGCCCATAATACATTATGTCTGTTAAAGGCAGAAAACAAGTTCATCATCCATTCAACTGACAAGTAAGCAGTCACATGATTTTGGGTCCCCTGATTAGCCCAGGTTAGCTGGTTCTGCTCATACTATAGGAAACATGAGTTTCTAATGGGATTTTGTTTCAGCGAACGAGACAGGTGAGGCCAAAAGACCAGAAAATGAAGAACCTTTTATGAAGATCTTTAGGTGCTGATACATGATAAATAGCCCAACAGTAGATAGTACGGACCACTCGAGAACCTGGTCTTTGTGGACACCCTTTAGGTTTTGAGGCCCAGGCCGACTCTGTCCTGGAGTGAATCTAAAGCACGACTTGTGAAACCTGTGATGGCCTTGACATTACCTGAAGCCTTTCCAGACGTCCAGCCAGCTTGCCCGGACGACAGGGCTCTGAGGAGTAGGTTTCCCGCTGGCGCCCTTCTTCCTTGACACTCGGATGGTGGCCGCCCTGCAGGACACACCCACGTTAACACTTTGAAGGTCGATTTAGTTTTGCAGGCGTTGTGCGTAGTTGTGTTTACCTCGGTGTCTTCTGTCTGACAGATTTTCCTGATCGGCCTGCTGTGTTGGGAGGGGGCGGGGCCGGCCGAGTAGGTATCAAACGAAAGGAAGTATTAGTCGAGATTCTGCAGAACAAACACAACGACACCATGAGAAAGATGTTTCAAACCCTTTAAGGAGCTTTACATTGTAAGGTAAACCCTACAGTGATACAATTTACCGACACGTTCTCATCCCAAAAACATTTCACGCCAGGTGACAAACCGTCAACATATTACGTTTTTTCCTAAATATAATATGAGATAGTATGAGAACCGTTTGGACTCAATCTACACATGTTCGTTCATTTTCCTAAAATCGCTTGGGAGAACACTATTTAACGTCATTAAAGTGCTGGTTAGGGTGAGGGAACAAGGTTATGGTTAAGGATAAGGTTAGGTTTAGGGCTGGAACGTCTGTTTCCACAGGACTGTCACTGGATTTCATCCATAACCCGGCGTGTACCATATGAACACGGAAGGTCACCTTTCGCGTTCCTCAGGAACGCCGCACGACTTGACAAAACATCAGGATGTTACGCCTCGGGAGTGAGAACGGTCTGAATTCACAGTAACCATACACACTTGTCATTGTTGGTCGTCGGGGCAGAACGAGGATCTGCTTCAGCTGTAGAAGGAGCGGGGCTAACACCTGATTCTTCCTCCTCATTGGATGACTCAGATTCAGCTTCCTCTTGGGTCGTCCAGCAGGCCAACGTGGTGTCCGACGGGTTTTCTGCTCTGGTGCTATGAGGACCTGGAGATAAAACTGGAACCAGAACCAGGAAAAACTGAAGCAGTTGGAAGCCAGTGGGAAGAAGCCCAGCAGAAGAAATACTAACAGTACCTTCACCTGTTAACCCTGCAGCACCCTCTACAGGTGGCAGCGTGACTGCAGCAGTCGGGTCTAAAGCTGATGTCACCAGCTGTGACAGCGCTCCAACATCTGGACACAGGTTCAGAGGAACACAAAGAGCATGTGTTAGTTCTTCTTACCCTCAGAAAGGGCTGAATCCTCTTAAGCTTGCAGAATGTTTAACGTTCAGGTGACCTAAAGCTGTGCACCACCTCAGGTGATCACCTGCACCTGACCTCCTGACACTTTCTACCAGCTGGAAGTGAAGCTGCACTCTAACTGTGGATCATACCCTCCTGATGT